TCTTAATAGGACTGGAACAGATATTCTCACAGGGAGATTTTCTCATGCGGTTGGTGTCGGTCCAAAGTGGCTTGTCAGAGGGCTGGGAACCTGAAGGGTAATCCAAGTTAAAAAGGAGTAACAGGAAGTAGAAAAGCCACTAAGGAGACAGGAAGACAGGAGAAACAAAGCCAAGCATCAAGTCTGCTTCAAATGCAGAATGACATCGAAAAGGCAATGCCAAGGGCACTCTACCTGAATACATGCAGCAAGGTAAATGATCTAAAGGCACAAAGAGAAAACAATAGTTATGATCTAATTGCCATTCCAGAAAAAGACTGCATGGTGATCAAGGCTGGGAACTGAATATTCAACAATATTAAATGTTTAGGAAGGACAGACAAGAAGGAAAACTGGTGGAGTTGTAATAATGAGGAATGCGATCAGTACATTAGTAAGGGATGATCACAGATCAGAAGAACATTGTAGTGGTGTCTATTTAGATGAAGCCAAGAAACAGCAAGGGGCAGCAGATATTGGTTGGAGTTATTTGTAGGCCACCAAATAGTGTTGGTAGAGGGGCAACGTGGTATTAATCAGGAGCTGAGAAAAGTATGTAGCCTGGGTAACACAGTAATCATGGGTGACTTCAATCCGAGTATTGACTGGATAAACAAATTCGGCACTAAAGCTGTGGAGGATGGATTTCTGGAGGTATGCTAGGAATGGTTTTCCAGAGCAATATGTTGCGGAGCCAACTACATGACAAGTTATTTTGGATCTTGTATCATGTAAAGAAGCAGGGCAAATTAATAATCTTGTTGTAAATGAATATTTAAGGATCAGTGACCACAATACATTGAAAATGAGGTGGTTCAATCTGAAAGAAGGGTATTACGTTTGAATAAGGGCAACTATGAAAGCATAGGGGACAAATTGGCTGAGGTAGATTAGGAAAATACATTAAAATGCATGACTAATAGACAATGGACAATACTGAAAGATCTATTACACGGCTTACACAACTTTAAATTCCTTCAAGGTGCAAAATCTTATGAAAAGGTAAGTCAATCATGGCTGACAAAGGAAGTAAAGGATTCTAAAAGGTTAAAAGAAAAGACTTATAAAGTTGCCAGATATAGAAATAATCTGAGGATCTTCAGGATTTGAGAGTACATAAGGAAGATCAAAAAACTGATCAGGAAAGGGCGAATATGAATCTAGTAAAGTACAAAAAAACTGACTGTAAAAACTTCTATATGTAAAAACGAAATATTTGGCTAAGATGAAAGAGGGTCCATTATAGACAGAGATAGGAGAATGTATAATGGGGAATAGAGGAATGACAGAAAAGGTGCTGATCCACTTTTGTTTGTCTTTTATATAAATGATTTGGATGAGAATTTAGAAGGCATGGTTAGTATGTTTGAGGATGACACAACAATTGGTGGCTAGCTGACAGTGAAGAAGGTTGTCTAAGATTACAATGGGCTTGGGAATGGCAGATGGAGTTTAATTTGGATGAATGCAAGGTGTTGCATTTTGGTAAAACAAACAAGGACAGGACATATACAGTTAATGCGACCCTGGGTAGTGCTGTTGAACAGAGAGACCTGGCAGTTCAGATACATAGTTCTTTGAAATTTGTATTACACGTAGACAAGGCGGTTAAGGCGGCATTTAGCATGCCTGCCTTCATTGCTCGGACTCGAGTACAGGGGTTGGGACGTCATGTTGAGGTTGTACAGGATATTGGTGAGGTCACTTTTGGAGTGCTGTGTACAGATCTGGTTGCCCTGTTATAGAAAAGATATTATTAGAGAAGGTGCAGAAAAGACTTACAAGGATGTTGCTGAGTTATAAAGATAGGCTGGACAGGCTTGAACCTTTCTCACCGGGGCACAGGACGTTCAGGGGTGACCTTATTGAAGTTTATAAAATCATGAGGGGCATAGATAAGGTGAATAGCAAGTGTCTTTTTCGTAGGGTGGGGGAGTTCAAAACTAGGGGACATGTTTTTAAGGTGAGAGGAGAAGGATTTAAAAAGGACATAAGGGGCAACTTTTATTTTTAAAACACAGACAGTGGTTTGTGTATGGAATGAATTAGCAGGAGAAAGTGGTAGACGCGGGTACAGTTACAGTGTTCAAAAGACATTTGGATAAGTTTGTGTATGGAAAAGATTTGGAGGGACATGGGCCAAACACAGGCAAATAGGACTAGTTTAGTTTGGTCAGCGTAGACTGGCTGGATTAAATGGTTTGTTTCCATGCTGTATGACTCTATACAGAAAATCTCCTGGAATGAGAGCTGCAATTGAGTAGAAAAATGAATAAGTGAAGGAAATTATTAAGGCTGCACTGGAGAATAATGGGGTTGAAAGGGAGTAGGGGAAATTCTAGAATACAAAGGATGCAATAAAGGGACACTTGGATAATAATGATTTGATTTGTCATTGCAAGCATCGATTTGGGGTAGATACAGATAAGGTTGAGAAGAAAACCAAGAGGCGCAATTTAAAAAGAAGGCGCATGCCAAGGAGGACTGAGATAAGAAGGTTTTTTTTAGCTCATAGGATTGTGAATATTTAAAATTCTTTCCCCCAAAAGGCTGTGAAAGCTTAGTCTTTGAATATATTTAAAGTAGGATTTACTAGGATGTTGCCAGGTATGGAAAGTTTGAGTTATAAGGAGAGGCTAGATAGGCTAGGACTTTGTTTACTGGAGAGTAGGAGGTTGAGGGGTGACTTGGTAGAAGGTTATAAAAGAATGAGAGGTAGAGATAGAGTTAATGGTAATTGTCTTTTTCCTAGAATGGGGGATTTCAAGAGTAGGGGGCACATTTTTAAGGTGACAGGAGAGAGATTTAACAAAGATGCAAGAGGCAAATTTTTTTTACACAGAGGGTGGTGTGTGTATGGGATGAACTACCTGAGGAAGTGATAAATGTGGGTACAATTACTTGTAAGAGACATTTGGATAGATACAGGAAAAGGGAAGGTTTGGAGGGATACGGGCCAGGAGCAGGCAGCTGGGGCTAGTTTAGATTGGGATTACGTTCGACCTAGACTGGCTATTAGACCGAAGGGTCTGTGTCCGTGCTGTATGACTCTATGACTAGAGATTGAACATTTTTCGTTATCAATGGTGTAAAAGGTTATGGGGATTGAGAGAGTAAAAGGCTTTGAAATGATTGATCAACTGTAGTTGTATTAAATGGCAGAGCAGGCTTGATGGACTGAATGGCCCACTGCTGTTCCTATGATTGCAACTGTTTGAGAGGGAGATTTGAAACAGTCCCTTTCAAAATCCAGACTCTTAACAAACAAGGCCGTGTGCTAGCCCTATACCACTTACACTCTACCTGACAGAGTTATTCATTTCGTCAAAGATCCTCTAGCAGGAGCATTAAATTCCACTTGGATGGTAGACTCTTTCAACTCAGTTATCTCCATGTCAAAACTAAACTAAAGTGGTCAACGCTCCTGTGAATGTTTAGGTTGCCAAGCCAGAGTATGATGGTATGTTATGAGAATTTCAAAAATGAATGAAAAACGAACTACAGGGTAGAATCTTCCCGATAGTGAATGACACGGACAATGACAAGGAAGTTGGGACAATCATGCAAGATTAGCAGCAAGGAGATCCCCAACTTTGTAAGCATTTTCCAACCAAGTGCCGAATGGCAAGACAAGATTCGCACTGATGTGTAGCAAAAGGCCTGTTTGCATGTAGTAATATCCTCACTATTATTTCATCTCAGCTTATTGATATGCTGTTTTCATTCTACCACATGCCGAACAGAAACTAGACAACAAAATTCCTGACATGAAAATCAGAGCAGTTACCTGGCAACTCCAGCTCTCCGCCTGCTCTTCCTGCCTTCCATCAGAAAACAACATCAGAAAGCATGTTCCAAAGTCAGTCACGACAAGTAGCCCCTTGTCCACCAAGGTCTCCAAGTCCCCAATGGCAAAGTGGGTACCAAATTCCCTCTCTGACAATGTCTGGGGAAACTGCAGACTGCCACTATTTCACTTTGCACCAACCCCAGGAACCTCACTGACCAGCAGAAGTATTTCCACCTGTGGTGAGTGGGAGAATACAACAAGCAGGCTGCCAGAGGGGCTGAGTGCATGGTGCACAATGCATGAGGCAGGTTTGGAAAGATAGGTTGAGAAAACTCATTAGGCTTTGTGGAGAGAAACTCACCATTAAACTCTCCAAAATTGGGTCAGGCTCAAAGTCAGAATTGGGAGTCCAGCCTTTTGCACTGTAAATCTTGCATCAATCACACAGCAGAGCAAGACACTAGGCAAAAGATTGAACCTTTTTAACCAGAAAATGCTAAATTCTTACATTTTGCTGGTAAAGCCCATGTACTTGGCAGGTTTAAACATGAGAGGTACAAATTCTGAGTGGGCTATAGAAGAAGGGACTGAGGCTTATTGTGCAATCAGTGTGGTCGTTTGACTGGAAGTCTAGATTGGGAGCAAATTTTAGCTTATAATGGTGATGAGTTCTGGTTGAGGCTGCATGCAGGACCTGGGTTTCACATAGAACTAGACTGCAGTATGGAAAGCAAACATGCAGAAAGCAGGATCCTGGCCCATAAAGGGGTATTGCATGCTGGCAGAGGTTTGACATTATGAGTGTAGGAAGGTAACAAACGGGGATGATAGCTTGTTCAATGTCAGATCAGGGAAACTACTGTGGTGCTTTCAGTGGTAGATAAAGGTGTGGGGAGGAATGGTTAGCTAGAGATTTCTTTTGTGTGTTTCAGTCAATAGTGAACATTTTGTGTAGGATCCATGAGAGGACAGCTTTGGTGATTAGGTGGTATACTTCAGTATTTGTTCAAGGATAAGAGATGGGCTCAGTATATTCTTTTCAGGGAATCCTCTTTAGATTTTTCTCAAGGGCTTTGAAGTTGCTTGCCACCCCCACGTACATTAAACATTGATCAGATGCCCTGTACTGACTCTGTTCCTTAACAGAAACACAATCACAGTCAACACTAACCTGACTGTAACTCGTCATCACACTCTGTAGGCCAGGCCTTTTCATCCAGTGGAGACAGCTTGAGTCGTCCAAGTGTCTTGGAAGTATCATCTGACACCAGATCATCTTGTAAATCCACCAACAGATCAGTTGTTGCCATAGCTGGTTATTTCACCTAAACAAATTGCAAAGATCATTGACAATAGACCAATTCTGGAAAAGCAGCTGAGGATTGGTTTTTATTTGACCTATATTTTTCTAGTCAACTATTCAGAGACGTTATTACACGCCTCTCAAGCAGGTAGGGCTTGAACACAGGCCTTCCAGTCAAGGTACAGACACAAGCACTGTGCCACAAAAGGGCCCCTACTTTTTGTTTTATTTGACCTATTTTTCTTATCAACCTGTTCAGAGGTGTTATTTCACATCTCTGGAGCAGGGAGGTCTTGAACCCAGGCCTCCGCTACAGGAGGCCCCCAAGAGAGGCCCCTATTCTGTGGCAGGTAACTTAGATCAACCAGTTTCAACATAATTAGAGTTAAGACAGAAACTGACCTTTTTCTGTCCGGAGGTTAAAGACCAAACAACAACGGATATAGATTTTCTCTCTCGGTCACTAACAAGTGGCCCCAGCTGGAACCTACATCAATGTGCACCCCCTCAACTGTGATGCATCTCCCTCCATTCCCATAGTCTGTTAACATTTACTTCACAAAATTGTACATAATGAGCATTTGGATAAAGTAACTGGATAATTGGCAGCATCTTCAGAATGACATCTCAGCAAGTAGTGTAAACTCCAACAACAGCTGAAGGGGCCAAATTGGGCCTTAGAAAAGGGAAGCAATAATGTTAAATTCTGTGAATAATTAAAAGAATAAATCCTAGTCAGAATTGCAAATGGTATTTTGATAGACGACTTTACAACTAGAGGCACATCACTATTAACCATATGCACAGTTCAGCAGTGAGTGACAGAAGGCTACTTCAACTGTGGACATCACAATCATTGTCCTGTATGTCATATCTCCATCAGCAGAAGCTAGTGGGCATTAATTAACAGTGCTACCCTCACCAATTCTCACTTTACGGTTTCAGCTCTCTTTGGCTACTTGTACTACCCTGGCTGAGATCACTGAACTCAGCAAAGAGCCTGAGTCTCTGCTGTCCAAAAGCTCTAACAAAATCATCTGAAGGGAGTCCCAGTTCAATATTCTGTTACTCTGGGGACAAAAACCGTTTTGTAAAGCAGACAACTTGAAGGGGAGGCTACAATGATTCTGAAATAGGTGAAGCCTTTGCAGCAATAAACTAAAGCTTGTCTTCTGAGGTAGGATCACTAGGCTCAAAACCTTAACTCTGTTTTCTCTCCACAGATGCTGCCAGACCTACTGAGTTTCTCTCCAGCAACTTTTGGTTATGTTTATTTGGGTTCAAGCTACATGTTAGTCATTTATAAGTAACTTGTCCGGACACAGTGAAATGTGGGAAAGTACTGGAGTCTATTATCATAAGATATGACGCCAGAAGATTTGGAAAACATGAACCGGATTGCACAAAGTCAGCAGTGATTTATCAAAGACACATCATGCTTAAAAATGTACTTTTTTTTGAGGATGTAACTAGTAGAAAAGATAAGAGAGAACCGTGGATATGTTGTATTTGTATTTCCAGAAGGGTTTTGATAAGATTCCTCGTAAGTGGTTAGTGAACAAAGTTAAAGCACATGGGATAAGGGATAATATATTGGCATGGATTCAGAAGTGGTTGACAGACAGGACAAAGAGTGGGAATTGATTGGATAGGCAGTGACTAGTGATGTACTGCAAGGATCAGTGCTTGGGTCCTAGATATTCAGAATATATATAAGTGACCTAGATGAGGGAACCAAATGAAACATTTTCAAGTTTGCTGATGACACCAAACTGGGTAGAACTGTAAGGGGGCAGTGTTAAATCAAGGCCCCTTCTTGTCCCTCGGGTGAACGTAAATGATATTTTGAGAAGAGTGAGACATATTTAAAGAGTTAGATCTTTGAACTATTGGGGGTTATAAGCTATGACCGAAAGTGGAGTTGAGTTGAAAGCTGGGGCAGATTTTGTTGAATGGCAGAGCACGGACGAATGGCTTACCACTGTTTTTTAATATTTTTATGTCCTTCCCTGTATCAAGACACATATTTATTGCTCAATTATTATTATTAAAGCAGAATATCTGGTTATACATTATGGCAGATTGCTGCTGCATTTCTAAAATGATAAAAGTGAATATTCCTTCAAATGTACTGCATTCAATTATTGTAAAATATTGGGGTTCTGAAAGTTGCTACATAAATTGCAAGTTTTTTAAAAATCTAATGTGACTGAATATTCTGTGATGCAAGCATTCTAATTGGTACTGGGGAAGAAACAGAAAGAAAAAGCCCAACTGTCAATGAGAAGAAATGGAAAATTGTGTGGAGCATTATTTTAGGAATGGCATATTGTACTCCTTGCAAAAATACTTATCATGGTGAAATTATGAACATGTAACAGACAAGAGGCTGAGATTTTCTGGACCATGAACTGTTCCACAACTCCATTACAGAGGGAGATTTGTTTGTTTGCCTGGCCTATAAAAGACTACACACTTAGGGGGGAAAAAAGGTTAATTGATCCATATCGTGGGAAAGATAGACAGGCACTGGGGAAGATGTAAACCAAGAAATTCCAAAACAATACTAAAAGTTACACCTTTTGCCTACCCGGAAAGCTAGGGTGTTCTTCTCTCGAGGAGAGAAGTAGCAGAGAAAACCTGACTGAGACTTCAAAATTACTAAAGGAATTGATAAAGTAGATATAGAGAAGCTGATTCCATTTGTGGGAAAATAAAATCCAGCAGCGATAAATAGAAAAATAAATCCAGTCAAATCCAAACACAGCTCTTTACTCAAAGACCAGTCAGAATGTGGAACTCACTACCACAGAGAATGTTTAAGGTGAATAGCGTTGGTGTATTAAGGGGAAGCTTTACAAATCCAAAGAGGAAAAATAGAACAATATACTGACAGATAAGGAGCATTGTGATTGGCTCATGTAGACTATAAGCAACTACCGAGGTGGTAACCTGGCTCAAAATTATACGAATCAGGCTGAAGAATATGGAGTTTAATTAAATAACAGTTAGAGAATGGATATTTGCATGCTCTGTTGTCAAATAAGGTCATCTGGACTTCAGCACATGAAAATTGAGAGTAGGCTTGGGGCAAATTAATTGGCATGGAAAAATAAACTCTTCAGAATAGCTTCTAATTTCAATGCTGAATCATTATTGTTAAAATGCTGGAAAAAGCAGAAAAAAATGTAACCAGAACCAAAATCATTACATAATTCAGCAACTGCAACGTCCGTCTCTCACACGTGACATTTCAGTAAGATATCATGCAAATCGTAGCATGGTTTATGAAAACCTCATATCCTTCTGCATTTCTGAGAATAATATCACACATGGAAACATCAGATTTAAGTCCTCACTGGAAAAACAAACCAATGCGAAATCAAATAGTAAAATTCTCTGAAACTGAATGGCATTCAAAAGGAGTTTAACTAAGTCAATTACCTTAAAGCATGGCCTTATTGAAAGGTTAAGCTTATTCATTGATTGAACGTCAGCTTGTATGAGGCTGCATCACTGTTTGTTTTCATGATGCCTATCAGCTTTGCTTCAATGTGCAGGTCGAAATGGATGCGAGCAATACAGAATGACACAAACATTGTGAATATTTTCATTAGCCAGATGAAACATAGAAAGATGGGAGTGAAGGGGATTGAGAAAGAACAGAGAGGCAATGATAACAGCAACGCACTCGATTTTTACCTGCCAGTTATGGGGGAAGCCCCGTGCGTGCAAACACGTTTCACCCTATCAACATAATTACACAAGAGCCAAATTCTTACCCAAAAAATAAGCCAGGGTGAGAGTTCATTATTAGTCTAATTGAAAACAAGCTGTAAATATTAGCTTCATTACCTCCCCAAATTAAACATGGTCTTTAATATAGACCACCTCGTCCACAGTGCTTCACAAGTTCACAAGACTTAAGGAAACATTGGAACAGACAACCAGGAATTTGGAAATCAAGGTAGAAAGAATAACAGAACCCAGGGCACTGGCACCCGAAGAAAAAGCACACTGATGATGGAGCAATGAAAATTGGAGACACTGAAGAGGCCTTAAAGAGACATCTCAGTTGGAGCTTGGGCAAGGGTAGATTGTGATTAGGGGTAGATTTTAGGTTAGGTATGTGTTTGGATTTGTATTGGGGTAGGGGTTTGGTTACATTTAGTGTTGTAGATGAGCGGAAGTTACAGAGTTAAAGAGAGATGTGGCTATGGTGGAACTTGAAAACGAGAATCAGAATTTTAAAATCAAAACAATGCCCAACTGGGAACCAAAGTAGATTAGCAAATACAGGAAGGAGAATAATTTCTTAGATTGATTCATTGAGTGACAGAGTTTTCCTAAGATGAGAGGCTGGTCACCATGAAACTACTACATCTGTGCCTCACAACCCGCATCACCTTCAACATCAGCATATACAAACAAATCAATGGAACATCAATGGGATCCCCAGTATCAGGATTGATTGCAGAAGCAGTAATGCAAAGGTTAGAACTAACAGTGCTCCCCGTTATACAACCTAAACTCTGGGTCCGATATGTAGATGACACCTTTGTGATTATTAAATGCACAAAACTAGAAGAAACACACCAACACATAAACAACATCCTTACTGGGATAAAATATACAAAAGAAGAATAGAAGAACAACCGGCTACCCTTCCTGGACATAATGGTAGAATGCAAAAACAACAGGGATCTCCAGATTAACATATATAGAAAGACCACACATACAGACTAACTAGCCAATTACACTAGCAACCACCCCAAGTTCCACAAACAGAGCTTCGACAGGACACTTCAAACAAGCCACAACACATTGCAGCAACCTGGAATGAAGCAAAACAGAACAGGAGCACTTATTTGAAGTCTTCAAAAGAAATGCATACCCAAAAAGCACAAATCACTCCTTACCTCCGAGACAAACCACAACAGGAAGACACAACACCACCAGACTCACTAATCACACTACCATACATCAAGGACATGAATTCGATTGGAACAACACATTCATAATCTCACAAGCCAAACAGAGACACACCAGGGAATTCCTGGAGGCCAGAACTCCATCAACAAATATATTGAATTAGACCCTGTGTACAAATCACCAAGAAACAAAACCGAAGTAATACCAACCACTCTAGCAAACCGAGGCATATAAATAACAAGTGGGACAGAACACCGACACTTCACCGGAGGCACAATGACGATGTTACCTAGTAGTGTGACAAAACGTTTGCAACCAAACTCACTGGCTCGGAGAGCATGTCTGCAACCTCATCCACAACCCGAGCTTCAAATCTTCTCGAAAACTTTAAACACACAATGTATTTAATTGCTGTATACAAATACTTTCTGACACTTGTTACCCTTGTCTCAGTGTTCATGCTGCCAGGGTTAACAACTCCAGAGAACACGTCCTGGGATGGTAAAGATAATGGCAACATTCTTTCTCCAGATTGGATTTCTATTGGTCCAGTGCTGCATAAACATTTAGATAGTGGAGGCAAGAGGGGTGGGTGGTGCGGTCAGTCACATTTAGAAGTGAAACCACTCCAGTCAACAGTTTATTCTAATCTGACAGAATCCTGTCCAAACGGCAGCCGTTCTTCGGTGGGAATGAGCCAGGTGGGCAGCGTTTGTCCAGCAACGGGAAGCGGTCGATCACAGACCATTACAGTCTGTCACGCTCCAGTGTTTATACACGGTGCTGGGGCAGGAGATGGTGGGCGGTGTCGTTCGCCACATTCACCTCCCACTCCCCGGGGTTCTGCAGCCCCGGGACCCTGTGCCTCGAAACCCTCCCCTCTTCCCCCCGCCCCCGCTCCTCTCCCTGTCTGTCCCCCACCCTCGGGCTCTCTCACCTCTCGGCTTTTTTTTGTCTGACGATCGAATTGACAGCCGGGAGAAAACCCAAAACATCAACAGCCAAACGGGTTACTTCCAGTCTCTGTCGGAACCGGAACTCGAACCCACGTGACCTCCGGTCCGCTTGCCACCACAGTCCCCACGACCACCATTTCCGATCGGTCTGCCGTCGCTTCCCTTCCCCACTTCAGGCGCACTACCTCCGGTCCGGCCGTCATTACCGTCCCCCGCCTACTACGTTTATTTCCGGTCAGGCTGCCGTTGCAGTCCCCACCTCCACGGTCACCACTTCCGGTCTGCTATTCCGGTTAAAATTGGGGTTGACACATATTCGTTAAAAATAACTGACTGTCCCTGTTGTAAATTATTATCAGACTTTTTTGTTGCACGTTTTGTACAATAGATCTGTACTGATTACGAGGAGAGACTTGAGAAAATTTGATCAGCAGACAAAATGCTGAAAAAACTCAGTCGGTCTTGCAGCACCAATACAAACAGTTAATATTTCAATGTGACTTGGTTTTATCAGAAAAAAATGAAAATAAAAGATTTCGAGGCCGAAAGACAGGATACTTGCATCATCAATTTTTTTCTGTATTAAAGTTAAGCGTGTTAATAGGGTTAACAAGTGAAAGGTGGAGGGTGCGATATAAGGGATAAACTGAGGGAAGGAAGATTAACTCAAAAGTGTTCACGACACAAAGCCAAAGGGATAAACACAAAACTAAAAACATTATCCAGAGTAGGTGTGAATTTCAGAATGGTGAACAGCTTGTATCCAAAAAAAATAACAAAACGAGAGCAAGAACAACCAGCAATAAAAATGGAAGTTGAAGGAGAAATTACGATTTAAAATTGTGGCACTTCACGTTGAATCTGGAAGATTACAGAGTGCCCAGGTTAAAGGTGAAGTGTTTTCCTTGAGCTTTATTGGAACACCTTGGCAGATTGATGTCAGTGTCAGGATAATCAAATCTCCTGAAGAGGATAGTGTTAAGATTGTGGGAGCAGCAGTGTGCAGTTGTCATGGGTTGCGATCCAGAATGTAAGAATGAATGGGTGCTGTGCTGCACCAGGAGCAGAGCGCAGTACACATGCAGGTGCGTTGTGCGTGGAAACAAAAGGTTGGAAAACAGATCAGTGGCCACCCCAGCAGCAAACAATAAACAGCCTGGAACATGGGACTGCTGCCTTGAATACAAGATGGCTGCATGTAACCTAGCATAGTTGATCATCCTGGTCAGAGTTGGAGCAGATTGGATAATTAAAATGGCAGGCCACCCAAACCTCAGAGTCGCACTTGGAGCTGAAACTAATGTGTTCCACAAAGCAATTACAAGGTTGTGATTATTCTCCCACATGACCACATCATGAAGAATGAATGGTACTAAAGAACATAGAACAGTACAGCACAGTACAGGCCCTTCGGCCCACAATGTTGTGCTGACCTATTATCCTATACTCTAAGATCAAACTACCCTGCATACCCTACATTTTACTATCATCCATGTGCCTATCCAAGAGTCCAATGTCCCTAATGTATCCGACAACTGAATGAAGATTAATGGTATTAAACTGAAACAAGAGCAGACTCACATTCAGTAGTTTTCTAAAAGGCAGAAGTGAAGCAGAAAAGATAAGCTACATCCTTTGGTTGGCAGGAGAAAAAGAATTAATTGTTTCAAATGGCTGGCAATGAGTGAGAAGGTCACTAAAATCAGAAACTCATTTTTGAGAAGTTCAGCAGATGTTGCTAGCCAATGTTATATTGATATGAAATATATTAATAAGATAGCTAGGTGAGCCTGTTGACAATTTCCAAATAAAATTGAGGATCAAAGCTGGAAAATGTAAATTCATGGAAATAGTTCAGGTTAGATTAGCTCTTAGCTGGGGATGCACACCCTGAAGTCCAAGAGCTTTGATGGCAAAGATCAATCTCATAATGTCAGAAGCTGTGGTCACTGACAGAGTACAATCAGACAGATAAAGATGCTTACTATCCAAATGCCTAGCATTCAATTAAATCAAGAGAGAGGCAGTCAGATTGGTGTAGTGAAACAGCAACAAAAGAACACATACTGGACAGGGATAGTAGGAACTGCAGATGCTGGAGAATCTGAGATAGCAAGCTGTAGAGCTGGATGAACACAGCAGGCCAAGCAGCACCAGAGGAGCAGGAAGGCTGACGTTTTGGGCCTAGATCCTTCTTCAGAAATGGGGGAGGGGAAGGGGAAGGGGGTTCTGAAATAAATAGGGAGAGAGGGGGAGGCGGATAGAAGATGGATAGAGGAGAAGATAGGTGGAGATAAGTGGTCGGATTGCAGATGGCGGAAGTGTCGGAGGAAACCTTAAGTTCACCTGGACCATCTCTAATACCTCTCTCTCCTTCCTGGACCTCTATGTTTCCATCTCTGGCAACCACCTAGAAACCGATATCCATTTCAAGCCCACCGACTCCCACAGCTACCTAGAATACACCTCCTCCCACCCACCTTCCTGCAAAAATGCCATTCCCAATTCCCAATTCCTTCGCCTCCACCGCATCTGCTCCCAGGATGAGGCATTCCACTCCCGTACATCTCAGATGTCCTCGTTTTTCAAGGACCACAACTTCCCCCACTTAGTGGTCGAGAACGCCCTCGACTGTGTCTCCCGCATTTCCCGCAACTCATCCCTCACACCCCCTCCCCGCAATAACAACCAAAACAGAATCCCCCTCGTCCTCACGTACCACCCCACCAACCTCCGGATCCAACGCATCATCCTCCGACACTTCCGCCATCTGCAATCCGACCCCACCACCAAAGACATTTTTCCCTCCCCACCTCTGCTTTCCGGAGGGACCACTCTCTCCGGGACTCCCTTGTCCGCTCCACACTCCCCTTCAGCTCCACCACATCCGGCACTTTTCCCTGCAACCGCAGGAAGTGCTACACCTGCCCCTACACCTCCCCCCTCACCCCCATCCCAGGCCCCAAGAAGACTTTCCACATCAAGCAGATGTTCACCTGCACATCTGCTAATGTGGTATACTGCATCCGCTGTTCCCATTGTGGCCTCCCCTACATCGGTGAAACCAAGCGGAGGCTTGGGGACCACTTTGCAGAACACCTATGCTCGGTTCGCACTAAACAACTGCACCTCCCAGTCGCGAACCATTTCCACTCCCCCTCCCATTCCTCAGACAACATGTCCATCCTGGGCCTCCTGCAGTACCACAACGATGCCACCCGAAGGTTGCAGGAACAGCAACTCATATTCTGCTTGGGAGCCCTGCAGCCCAATGGTATCAATGTGGACTTCACAAGCTTCAAAATCTCTCCTCCCCCAACCGCATCCCAAAACCAGCCCAGCTCGTCCCCGCCTCCCACCTATCCCCTCCTCCCACCTCAAGCCCCATCCCCATCTCCTACCTTCTAACCTCATCCCGCCCCCTTGACCTGTCAGTCCTCCCTGGACTGACCTATCTCCTCCCTAACTCCCCATCTACACTCACCTTTACTGGCTCCATCCCCGCCTCTTTGACCTGTCTGTCTCCTCTCCACCTATCTTCTCCTCTATCCATCTTCTATCCGCCTCCCCCTCTTTCCCTATTTATTTCAGAACCCCCTTCCCCTCCCCCATTTCTGAAGAAGGGTCTAGGCCCGAAACATCAGCCCTCCTGCTCCTCTGATGCTGCTTGGCCTGCTGTGTTCATCCAGCTCTACACCTTGCTATCTCACATACTGGACAGGGGTGTGCACTGTGGACAACCACATGAGTTAAAAGAGGGGGAACTGTCCTACATTTGGATCAGTCTACAGAGCTTGTGAAAAGCCCAATCACAAGAAAAAGATGAGCAAGCAGTGAAAGAAGATGGTAAATGAGCTACCATAGGCAGATCAGCAGTATGAATGAGAATGAATTTAAACATCCATACTCTGGAAGACGGTAATCAGCTTGAGAACCAAACAGATGTACAAATCATACATCTATATGAAATCTCAGGGTATGGTAGTTCTCGAAGAAAAGGAATTCACACAATGGTTCAGGGAGAAATAATCATAAAATAATCCTAAAATGAAGTTTGATACCACTGTACAAGTAAACATTGTTATGACATACATCAAAAAAAGAGGCAGAAGTAAGCCAATTGGCCCCTTGAGACTGCTGCACCCTGTAATAAGATCATAACTGACCTGATTTTAATCTCAAATCCACATTATCTCTATGTCCAATAACTTTCACCCCCTTGTTTACCAAGGATCTGTCCACTGCTGCCTTAAAAATATTCAAAATCAATGCTTCCACTTCTGGTTGTTTTAAAGACTCTCTGCCTTTTGAGAAAAAAACATTTGCTTTGTCTTGTTTAAATGAGTGAGTTATTATTTTTGAAAGTCACCCCTAGATCTAAACTCTCCCAAAAGAGAAAAATTGTGCCAACATCTACCCTATAAAAACCCTTCAGGATTATCTATGTTTCAGTTAAGTTGCCTCTTCTGAGTTCCAGCAGATAAAATCCTAGCCTGTCCAACCTCTCCTCATACAATGACCCATCCATTGCAGGTAAGCCTTCTCTGAACTGCTTCCAATGCATTCACACTACTCCTTACATAAAGTGATCAATCCTGTACACAGTACATTAGATGTGATCTCACCAGTGCCCTGAAAGATACCATACTTCCTGAAAATGTGAAAGGAAGTGGATTACCAAAGAATGATGCTGTATAAACTGAGCAATGGATATGTTAATAGCATATGATGAAACTAAGATTAGACAACTAGGAACAACCCAAATCAAAGTGGTACACAAAGGAAATGATGTGAACTGTGTTTTAAATCCTTCTTTGTACCGCAGAAGTCAGCATTCTTTGAGAATGTAACATTCAGGGGGGAACACTCAGTTCCAAGATGTCATTTGCTGTTCCAAAATACTACTTACACATAATTCTGCCTAGAAACGGGGGGTGAGGCTAGTTAGTAAAAACAAAATCTAAGACCAGTCAGCCCACAATTTAAAAGAAAACTCAGCAGCTTTTGTAAACAAAGCCAGAATTATCCAGTTGGATCATTCTGACCGATCCCTTTCTTTGTGAAGCAGATTCTTATTGCAGTCAGCTGTGTGATTTTGACTCTATGGAGTACATCACATGCAGACCCAACCTGGACCTCCTTGTCAAATTTCACAAAGGCCATGTCATAGGGTTTTCAACAGGTCATTCAGGGCTGTTCAAAGGTCACAGAAATGGAGTTCAAAGGTGATAAGCAAAGAAACTGCAAGTCAGTGAGTATGTATGTGTGGGTGGTAGTAGACTATATATAATAGTATTTCTTTAGGTACTTTACTAGGAAGACAATTGAACCATACTCGGTCAGAAATCCCAAGAGTGGTTGGATACCTCTATGCTGTTAAAACTCGGGCATATGTTCTAGGAGTTAGTAGGCAGCTAATGTGTAGGTATCAGGATTCTGAAAAAGTCTTGGTGTCTTGGAATAAACCATGTGCCACTAATAGTTCAATACAGCTGACAGTGGGAGCCCACAGGCATTACTTGCTTGATGCAACTGAACATGATTAGAGCTTGAGAAAACCCCAGGATAGTTCTGGCTTGGAGAAGCCAGCTGTCGGTGAAAAGCTGGATTTCTGCCTGTGAGTAAATGCTGGCATGCAATTTCCAGAGTCCAGGAGAGCATTGATTCAGGAAGGGAGACTGATCACATAGTGTGGGACAGTTATTGAGGCAGTTCACATCAGAATGGCTTTTGAGAGGGAGTTTCAAGGCCAGATCAACAAAACTGAAGAATTATAATCCCTTGTGAAGTTTGATGAGATCTGATGACCTACTATGTCTTTGAAATCTGTGGAATCTATCTTGATTGCATTTTCTATTTGTGGTCTATTACCCATATTGACCACATATTCATTCTGGGCATTCAAAATAAGTTGCACATGTAGGTTATATTTCTGTTTTAACTTCACATAGTAACGTTTGTTTAAAACCATGCAAGCTAGTGGCTTTGTCTGTTTAGTAAGACCCCTGGATCTTTCACTTTGTCTACTTTAAAAAAAGATAACAAATCCCTAGACAGATCATAACATAATTTGAAGTTTCTGATAACTGTATGTTGATGGCCTTGCTATCCAGGATAGCTGACCAGTTGCAACGAGGTGCAGCTAATCTTAAAAAAAAACCCAATGAGATGAAAAAGGATTCACTGGGGTTTGAAGATTGTACATTCGTTGAAATGCACATTTAGATCAGTTGTAAGAAATATCCAGTGCAAATATATTCAAGAGGGTTTTGTTGAGGTGGTTGGCTGCTTTGAAGAGCTTGAATATTATATAACTCTTGACCACTGATTCATCCCCAGCGTAATGAAGAAAATAAAAATATAATATAGCAAAAAAGGAAAGTTTGAAAGGGATAGAAACAAATGAAGTAATCATGAGAATACACGCCCTGAAGATTAGGTAAATTCCATTGTTCTGAAAGCAAAGCTGCTCTGAATCCTCATTCACTGAACATGTTCAAGACAGAAATTGATCTACAAGGCACAAATCTTTGTCATTTACATAATTGATTTGGATGTGAATATAGGAGGTATGGTTCGTAAGTTTGCAGATGACACCAAAATAACTGGTGTAGTGGACAGTGAAGACGATTATCTCCGAGTACAATAGGACGTTGATTAAATGGGCTAATGGGCTGAGAAGTAGCAGATGGATTTTAATTTAGATAAATGTGAGATGTTGCATTTTGGTAAGGCAAACCAGGGCAGGACTTACACACTTAATGGTAAGGTCCTGGGGAGTTTTGCTGAACAAAGAGACCCATGGTTGCAGGTGCATAGTTGCTTGTAAGTGGAGTCACAGGTAGACAGGATGGTGAAGAAGGCATTTGGCACGCTTGCCATCATTGGTCAGAGCATTGAGTATAGGAGTTGGGGTATCATGTTGTCGTTATACAGGACATTAGTGAGGTCACTTTTAGAATACCGCATAAAATTTTGGTTGCCCTTCCATAGGAAGGATATTGTTAAACTTGAAAGGGTGCAGAAAAGATTTGTAAGGATGTTGCCAGGACTGCAGGGTTTGAGTTAAAGAGGAAGGCTGAATAGGCTGAGGCATTTTTCCCTGGAGCAACGGAGACTGAAGGGTGACCTTATAGAGGTTTATAAAATCATGGGAGGCATGGACAGGGTGAATAGCCATGGTCTTTATCAAAGAGTGGGGGAGTCTAAAACCAGAGGGCATAAGTTTAAGGTGAGAGGGAAAGATTTAAAAAAGACCTGAGGGGGAACATTTTCACGCAGACGGTGGTGCAGGTATGGAATGAGCTGCCAGAGGAAGTGGTGGAGGCCGGTACAATTACAACATTTAAAAGGGATCTGGATGGATACATGAACAGGAAAGGTTTAGAGGGATACGGGCCAAATGCTACCAAATGGGACTAGGTCTGATTGGGATGTCCGGTCAGCATGGACAAGTTGGACCAAATAGTCTGTTTCCGTGCTGTATAACTCTATGACTCTAAGTTAGGAGTGTGATATAATTCTCCCTATTTGCCTGGATGGATGCAGCTTTTCCAACAACACTCAAGAAGCTTGACACCATCCAGGACAAAGCAACCTGCTTGATTGGCACCACATCCACAAGCACCCACTCTCTCCACCACTGATGCTCAATAGCAGCAATGTGTACTATCAAGATGCACTGCAGAAATTCACCAACAATCCTTAGACAGCACCTTCCAAACCCACGATGACTTTCATCTAGAAGGACAATGGCAGCAGATATATGGGAACGGCCCCACCTGCAAGTTCCCCTCCAAGCCACTCACCATCCTTACTTGGAAATATATCACCATTCCTTCACTATCGCTGAGTCAAAATCCTGGAATTCCTCCCTAAGGGCATTGTGGTGTACCTGCAGCATGTGAACCGCAGCAATTCAAGAAGGCAGCTCACCACCACTTTCTCAAGGGCAACTAGGGAGGCAATAAATGTTGGTCAGCCAGTAATGTCCATATCCCATGAATGAATAAAAATAAGTCAAACTAGTGATACTGTGGGGGATGAATCAACAGACAATATGGCGACTCTTCATTAATATGAAAGGTTTATTGTATAGTATCAATTAGTTACATTACCTCTAGGACTCTGATTGTTTCTGTGAGATATCATGCACAACTTAAGAGTACTTACAAATTACAACTTTAGCTGCATGCTGTTATTACTAAGAATATTCACTGACGTACTAGTTAGCTCCTCCCAGGAACAGTACTATTTTAATAGGCTGAACTTGTCTTGAGATGTCAGTTAATTGTCCTCCTCATATTTCCTAGCCTTATCTTACATTTACTCTAATCCTCTTTTGATTTTACTCTGTACATCCTCCCTACGCTTAGAAATACGTTGATATACAAATGGCTGTGATTCTCCTCACATATTTATTTTGCAGACAACGTATTTTACCCTTTAACTTTACAGCTTTTCAGTCTTAGACATTTGGCTTTCTTAAGCCATTGTTTGACAGCTTAACACAACCTCTCAAAATCTTCCTGGTTTTAGGGTGGGTAAAGTGCAATAGATTAAGATACTACAACGGAAATCTTATTTGAAGATATGACCAACCAAGAGGCAACATCACATGCGGTATAACCACATGGTTTACCAGACAGCTATCAGGGATGAAGAGGAGTGGGGGACGGCGAGAGAGATGAAGAGGGGTAGGGGAGAAGAGGAAGGGGTAGGGGATCCTCCAGAGGGGTGGCGGGGGGGGGGGGGGGGGCGCGAGGTCCCAGGTGGCTCTCTGGGGAAGTTCCCAGGTGGTTGTCAAGGTCGGGCGGGGGTGAGCTTCCCAGGTGGCTATCGGGGCGGGGCGAGGCGAGTTCCCAGTTGGCTGTCTGGGCGCAGCGGCTACAGTTCCAGGCGGCTCCAGCGGGCGACGCTGTCCAGGGAGGCCGGGCCTGCCAGTGACTCCGGAAAAAATTTTTTAAAAATTAATGCTGAAGCAGCGGAGAATCCGGAGGAGGACCAGGAACAGGTTAGTGAGGGGACGAGAGGTTAGTGAGGGGACGAGAGGTTAGTGAGGGACTGAGCCTGGAGTGTGAGGAAGAGGGTGAACAGGTTAGTGAGTGAGTGAGTGAGTGAGCGAGTAGGGAAAGAGAGAGATTGAGGGGAGGAAGGGGTGGGGAAGGGGACAGAGTTGTGGTAATATATTCTGTAATAAATGTATAATATGCTGGTGGAGATAATGATTAGTTTGAATAAACAGCATTTTGAAGCTGGTGGGATGTGAGTAGTGGGGTGGTGCTTGGCACTCAGCTGTTTACTATTTATTATTAACTTAAATGAAGAGTTAGAGACTTACGGATTGCAATTTGCTGATGCTGGGAGGATCCTGTTTGAGAGCGCCACATTTATGTTAAGATCCGAAGCCACATCTCAGAGTTGGTTATGATCTGTTTAGGGTCAAGTGATCTCTGGTCCAGCCAGAAATACTCTCGCTGGCTGTCACTGGGTAGAATTCAATGAATCAGTGTTCAACACACAAGCTAACAGCTTCTTCCTAGATTCACTGCTGATACTTGAGTTTGGTGGGAGTTTAGGCTATTGCCATCTCAATAAAAGGGATTAGTTGGTGGTGGAGTCCCCTCCCAAACAATACCTTTATCAACTGCTGTTGGCTGGTCCATGGGCTGAAATTTGCCTTTGTGGCTCAGCTAGGTCTGTTGATTCGTGAACACAGCTACTGTGCAAAACTTTACTCCAAAGGCAAAAAGGGCATCTGTACCCATTTTCAACTCTAATTGGCACTCTCCTAACTGCTGTGTACTCGAAGTCATTTGCTCATTGCCTGAGTAAAGCACTGTTACTGCTTGGTTAGTACGTTCTTGGGGATAAATGTCTTCTCTTGCACAAGAATAGCAATTTGCGTTTATGCAGTGCCTTCAACCTAGATCATCCAAGATCATTCACAAAAGTGGTGTCAAGACAAATACTGAGTTGTTTAGGGGGACATTGGGGCAGAAGATCAAAGCATGGTCATAGGCTTTGTTTTTAGGAAGAAATAGAAACACAGAAGTTTACAGAAGAAATTGCAAGCTTTGGATTTTGAAAACTTGCGTTATAGCTGCAGGCAGGAGAGTAATTAAAATTATGGGAAGTCGGAAGTGGAGGAATGCAGAGATTCTACGGAATTATAGAGCTGGAATAGATTACAGAGTAGTGGAGGATATAAATCAAGGAAGGATTTGATACAAGGATGAGAATTCTCGAATTGACTTGTACTGCTGCTGGTACTAGGCAGGGTTTGATAATATTTTATAAGATTAGATAGATATGACAGACTTTGAAGTGTATTATTCTTGCAAAACTTTAAATAAATTTGTTTTTCAATGACTCTTCAAAACTTAATTTCGAGCAATATTAAGTATAAAGCATCTCATAACATTATGTCAACCAGGGGTGTTCCAGGTTTAATTGTTTGTTGAATTAGTCTACGTAATGAGGCCCACTGTATTTGAAATTGAAATTGTACATGGTTCTTCTGGAATTTGTGATGCATTTTACTATTAATCTACATTACGATTCTCTCTGTGAGGAAAGCTAAATAGGTAAATACAGTTCACTCAAACAGTATATGAACTCCTGAAGTTAAATAGTGACTCATTTTTTGGTACTTGCTGTTTGGGTCTCAGCCAGACCATTTAACTCATCCGTGGCATACGACAATGGGGTCTCCAGACAGAAGGTGTAGGAGAGATTTACCCAAAATAACGCAGGGGTGGCTCTTTATCTGGTGGGGTAGAGGAGACTCGAGGAGCTGGAATCATACAGGAAAGTTTTATGAGCCATAAAGGTTTTGATGGAATATATGAAAAACTTTATTGTGTCAAAAGGTTCAGTAATCAGAGGACCTCCATCTATCCCTTCAATGCTCTCTTTAAAACCTATTTCTTTGCCTGTGTTTTTGATCATTTGCCCTAACGTCTCATGTAATTTAATGTCAAATTTTGCTTTCTTAAAACCAATCCTGTGAAGTGTTCTGGGATGTTATATTATAGTTTGGGTTGTATAACAATACAGATTTGTTATTTAGAATAGGTGACACAGGCATAACAAGCTGGATGGCTGTCTTCTCTGTTACATGATTCCATGAAATTGGATCAACCTAAAATTCCTGTCTGTTTTGCAGCCTTCAGATCAGACATACCCAAGCAGAACTTGGTTGGCTTTTGGCCTTTGCTAAAGTTTGCAGCAAAATATAATGATTGGACCAAGATTTGTGAAGCCATGGGTCAGATGTGCTGTTTCAATGCCTGGATTATAATAGCAGATGTACACTTGTGCTGCTCACAGTAAGTCAGAGAATGTATTCCTTCAAACAATCAAGAGAATTACACATTTTTTTATGTACAATATATTTTAAATTTTGTAATAACTTTGCCAAGGCTGCTTTGTCCCAGTTTAGTTTGTCTGTATTCAATCAACACACTGCTCTTTTTATTTTGAGCCGCTTCATTATGTGATGGCAAAAGATTGATTTCATAAAATTGTCAGTGAAATGCAAATGCATAACAGCGAAAGAATTTCAGCATATATCCAGCAGGTTTTCAGCCACTTTTTTTTTCAGGATGTTATGCATATACTGGTCGATAATACTATAAATGCCAAGCCATACATTTATAGTGACAGGATAAGTCAAATTCTGTTCCATCAAATTAGCCATGTTAATGGGAGTGTTTACTGGATGTTGTACTTTATCATGTGCATAGGGTGAGTCAGGCAATGAGCTAATTCCTCAAATTGAGAGCTCCTTTTGCAGTTGATATTCTGAATGTTTTTCTTGGTGCTTTGGAGGTTTTATTCCACATCTTTGTCCATTAATTGGTGAAACCGGTATATGACATTTGTATATATATTACTTTAACAGTATTAGATACACAGACACTAAGAGTAAAAAATGTATGGTCCTGAAGTTTGGCAGCACTGCAGATGTATAGAAGAGCAAGCCAGAGAGAGACATGTGATAACAAAATGTGAACTGCTGCAGTACACCATAGGACTACATGCATGCTGAACCACAAAATCAACATGTTACAATCAGAGTGAAATGATCCCACAACAAGTATAGAATATAATCTTATATGGGTCAGACCAAAGCTCTGTCACCCTCTCAGATCCAGTCATGAACTAAGCAACTTACAGGAGCCTTCAAGAACGCTCCCGTCCTCAATGAGGTGAAGCCCAGCAGGTGTGTGAGAAAGACAAGGCTGCAGCATTTGCAACCATCTTCAGTCAGAAATGTTGAGCAGATTGCCCTTCTCAATCTTATTCTTTGCTATGACAAATGCCAGTCATCAGACGATTCAATTCCTTTGAAGATCTCCAAAGCATAAAACCTCACTGCAAAGGAAAAGGAGATTTTTAAGAAGACTGTTGAGACCCAAGGAGAGACTAAATGGACAACCCTGGCAGAGCGGGACAGCGAGTGATGCATTGTGGGAATGCTGGCTGTATTCTGGGGCGATACTGTAGCAATGCACTGTTGGCATATCGTTGGCAAGCTGAGGCATCTGAATTGCCATCTGGCAGGAAAAGTGAATCCTGTTCATGCATTGGAGGTGGATTTCTTAATAATGGGGTATCTATTGACTGACAAACATGTGACCTAAGTGTGTACTTTTTAACATGGCAGAAGACTACGTGAAATGTCAGTTTTTAAACAAGAAGAATGCAAAAGTATTTATGCTTTGTACAAGATATGCTGTGCTTCTAAATTATTGAACTTGGGGGTTCATCAGCTGAATGTAAATTTTGTCGTGTGATTGGAAGATTGATGATATTTAGATGGTGTGCAGAAGTAAATCAGTCCTTGTCTTAGAGTTGTACATTTAATCATTATTATAATTCCGTTATAGATTCTAAAGTTATAATGGAAATTGCGTATGTAAAGCCGTCATCCTTCAGTTGAGTCTTCCACGAGTAATATGGAGCTGTAGTGGCTGAAGGGTGTGTTGATAACCTGTTAAGTTATCAATAGTTTCCATCCGAAGTATGCTATTTCAAGACTTTCTTTCACTTAATAGAAGAATTTTAAGATGAAGTTATTTCTAAGTATTTTAAAACAGATTAAATTGGTGTGCAGGTTCCAGACAGTTTAGTTTGTCAAATTCTGTTGCTTGAAAGTAGGACTCTTCATCAGAGTCGATGAAGAGTCATCTAGACTCGAAATTTTAACTTGCTTTCTCTCCATGGATGCTGCCTGACCCGTCGTGATCTCCAGCATTTTTTGTTTTCTGTAGCTTATCAGCTGCTCTGATTGTTTCAACTCCAGCTTTTTAATCATTTTGGCTCCTGTTCATTTTGAGAATAGCCAGAACTGTTCATTTCGACCCCCCTGCCCCCCCATATATTTACTTTTTCCCTGTGAAATCGAGAAACTTAAAAATTTATATTGGATTTCATTTTGCAAGGTACTTCATGTCGCCTTTGACAGCAAACTTGGAACACTTAGCTCCATAGGCCAATTTCACCATTCTCTGAGATCATGGCTGATCTGTGACATATTTCCACATTAGTGCCTTTCTCCTATATTAGTTAATACCTGAGGTGAACAGAAACCTATCAATTTCGGATTTAACATCAGTACTTTGCCAGTATTGACTGATGTTGGTGGAAGGACGAAGACTAGAAGTGGGGACACAGTTTAAGAATAAAAGGTCTCCCCTTTAACACATGGTTTCTCTCCCCTACTCCCCCCAAAAATAAACAAAGCTATGGAAATTAGTTTATTCAAACTTATTGAAACTTATTCAAGACTGGGTTAGATATATTTTTGCAACATAAGGAAGTTAAGGGTTCTGAGAGGGTAGACAGGAAAATGGAGTTCAGACCACAACCAGACCAGCCCTGACTTATCAGATGATCAGGTATTACTTCTACTCTGTTAGTATTCTAGATATAAAAATTAGCATTGCATTAGACTTTTTGCTCTTGTTTTGAATCTGTGCATGATGTTTTAATCTCTATACCTGGATCCTCCTAAGTCTGTTTGGATCTCAATTGCACATAATTTTTCATGCTTAAGAAAGTACACCGATCTCTGCTTTTCCAGTCCAAAGGGTTAATCTCTAACTTGCTTACGTTGAAATCCATTTGTCACAACTTTGCTCATTCACTTTGAGGAGCTGCTAGCAAAGTTATAATACAATTGAACGGGTAATCCAGAACTCGATGCTAATGGTCTGGTGACATGCTAGCGGGTAACGAAATTTGAATTCAATAATTGTGTAGAATTTAAAAAAAAACACAATGGCAACCATTGTCACTTGACATTAAAAAAAAAATCTGGTTCACTCATCCTTTTGGGAAGAAAATCTGCAATCCTTACCTGGTGTGGCCTACATATTACTCCAGTCATATAGCAATTTGGTTGACTCTTAACTGCCCCCCTAGATGGACAACGAATGCTAGCCCATCCAGTGATGTTCGTATCCCATGAATGAATAAAAGAAAAATCACTAAATCCATTAAAATTTCTTTGTAGTTTTGTGCTTCCATTAACACTGCTTACAATGCCCCTTATCTTTATATTATCATCATCAAATTTGGATATGTGGCTTTTTATTCCATTGGGCTCATTAATAAAAGAATAGTTGTGGTATTGTCATAGATCCTTCTGTGATACCATTAATCACATCCTGCCAATTAGAGGACTTGCCTATTTACCACAATCTTCCATCTTCTCCTGCTTAGCCAACTTCACTTTTGGCTAATAGTTTCTTGCAAGTGACTTTATGTAGTGCCTTTTGGAAGTCCGTAATAAACCAAATCAGTAGACATGCAAATAAAATAGAATTGTGGATGTGGAGATCTGAAACAAAAACAGAAATTGCTGGAGAAACTCAAGGTTTGGCAGAATCTATGGGAAGAAAGCAGAGTTAATGTTTCATGTCCTGTGACTTGTCACCGGTACCCTGGTATAAAAACCATCCGAGTGGTTTGTCATTCTTTAGTGCTACTATTTTCTGTATTGTTCATAATTCTTTACTGATTCAAAATTAGTTTCATTAACATGCTTACCTCTTGCTCTACTGAATTGGTGCCATTTGATAATTTATAAGGGCCAAAGTTTTCTGAGTTTCATTTACAATATTACCATGGTCAGATTTTCAGAGTTCCACATTTATGTTGATGACTCTGTCTTATACTTGTTAAGATTTGTGATAATTTTGATATCCCTTATAAATTTCTTTTCATTCACCCTTTTAGCAGCTCTTACTACCACTACTTTGTCATCATTTGCATTTCTTTCTATCTTTCTCATTCGACAGGAACACTATTCTAACATTCATTTGTTTTTTGTTTTATGATATGGTTTACCTCTTCAATTGTCCAAATCTATTTCTTTTGTCGACCCCTGACTTGGATACAAACTGGTTCTTTCTGTATCCTGTTAATTTTTTTGAATACCTGCTTCTGATCTTGTGTTGTTTTACCTATTAACAAATCTGATCAGCTTACTGTGAATTTCTGACTGATTCATTCTGTTGAAAATGCCCTTAACTAAATCTAAAATCTTAATATATATTGTTTTGGTTTTCTTCCTTTTCAAACATAATTTTGATTTTGATATGTTTTGATTATTAGATAAATGCTGATACAGTTAGCTGAATCATAGAATTTTACAGTGTAGAAGGAAGCTATGTGGCCCATCTTACATGGTTTATTATTTGTACTCAAATCTAATAAGGCCTCCCTCCTTTTGTCAATTCTGCGGCAAAGATTTAAGTTTGCAGGGACATGTGACAGATGGAATATCCATGTCCAGATCCTAATGAGTTCTATTCTTGCAATTATACTAATTACAAAATTAGTGCTTGATTACTGCAGGACACATTGGATTGCTCTCGGGCAGCTGAAGGGAATGACTACCGCTTTACCCCTAAACATTGGCACATAAGTGGAATGTATAATAGAAATAGGAGGAAATTCTGTGTACATGTAAAGTTATTTTAATGTATAGAGAACATGTGTCCCATTTACCTTAAAATTAATGCCATGATGAACGTGTATAAAGTAATATATCCCACACTATCAATACTATTTGTGAGCGAAAATAAAGACTTGCATTTATGTAGCGAGTTTCATGTACTCAGGATGTCCTAACACACGTCTCTGGCCACTGAAGTACTTTTGAAGTGTAGCCGCTGCTGTAGTGTAGGAAATAACTATGTAGATACAATTAATTTTATATATGGTATACAGTGAATATGTAATACATTACCTTATGTTTCATGTACCATATTCATTGAGCAGCATTTTAAGTAAGACAGTGCCCCACATTTAACTGTGC